CTGCATTGTTTCTGTTTCGTGATATATATGCCACGAAGACGGTTGGATAGATAGATAGATACCTGTCGAACAAACCGCTATACCATTAAAGGGTTATTTGGTAGTTAATAGATTTTATCATGTTTTGTATTTGTATCGGACAGATAGTAATATCTGACAATACCTGACAATATAGGATCGCCATGATGGTTGGTACAATAAGGAAGTAAGGGCGCATTCGGGTCACCATAAGATTTGGGAACCCGGCTTATTTTAGGATGAAGGGTCTTTTAGTTATTAAAGCTTTATCCCATCATAATAATCAAGGTTTGTTTTGTTGTTTTAATTATAGTAACATATTTACCGTATATTGTTTAAGGCTCATCTAGACCTCGTAAAACTTTGTGATTAGACGTAAGGGGTAAGTCAGTCAGATGCCAAGTTGACCTATCGGATCGTAGAAATTACACAGAGCTATTTTACGGGGCAACGGGCCATGGGGAGGGACTGAAAGTTTGAAGGTCTGGCGGTGTTATCTTACATATTGCTTCATCAACTTAAAGGTGAGTACGGATCTATACATACGTTGGGCTTAAATGGGCCGTGATGCGGTGAAGTTCCCCTTCCGTGCTTGGCGACATAGCTAAGTTACTATGCGACGACAGGTCATGCGATGGAGCCGCATGATTATTGCCCGTTAAACTTCTATCCATAGATTCAATCCAGGCGGTCTACCGTACTAGCGAGGATTTTGGGTCGGAATATTTGGTTTGTCCCTAATGTGGCAAAATAGGGGAGTTTGCGGCGAAGCTAGCTAGCTGAGAATTATATCGGACAACGTACATTATTATACTTTATATTAAATGATATTTTCCCAGACCGGTGAGCCTTTCTGCCACATAGCTCTGTCAGAGGAAGCTGTATTCGCGCTCTCCGTCTTTCATATGACTTGCATAGGTAGATCTTCCGATGTAGTAATATGAACTGACCTTGCCAAGACTGGTCAAAAGGTGAGCCGAATAAGGAGCGAGGTGAATACGCCACACTGTAACCGACGTAGACGAATAACCAGTTAAGGCGAAACAAAAGTCTGCGTGAAATTCTTTTCGTAGGATATCATCGGCACCAACTATTCTTCAGCTTCTAAGATTCCGTCGGATACGGGGTCGTCCTGCCAATCCAGCGGAAGTTGCTTCCAATCACAACGCCAATCTTACTGGCTGGGTGCCGCGTGTCTGTATTAGTGTCATGTGAGTGAAACTGGCGTCAAATTACTTATGGTACGGCGAGTGTAGTCCTGTCCGCCCGTCAGGCCTCTGCTACTACACCGACTTATCCGTAAACGCCACCTACGAGCGGTGACGGCCTGAAAAGTGTAGGTAGTAGGTAGGTTTCAGCGCCACAGTGAACTCCGAAGGTCCATGCTGAGAAGAGTCTAGACGAGACGAATCTCTGGAACGGTCTAGTTAGTGGAATTACCGGTCGTGGTAGGTAGATTATGTACGATTAGATGAGAAGTATTGGAAGAATCATACGTCTGCGGAAACCCCGAGCACGGCTGTATCTTTTCCGTTTGATATATTCTGCATGTCTTAATGTATGAGATCATGCGAGAATCTTCACCTTTTTGAGGCTTATTTTTCTTAGTAGAGGACGCGTAACGAGCCCCCGTATTAATTTACAAGGCGAGTCCTGCCAACTGCTTAGTACGTGCCATTTGCTTCTGGCCAAGACCAGCCTCGTCTACCTAATGACGGTAGGCAATGCCATGGTCCTGGGAAAGCAACAAAGCCTTATTCCCCGGACTGCTCACCACCGGATCTCATCCTCTATCAACAAGGCTAAAGAGCAATCTTGTTGGTGACAAGAGGTTTAGCTTGGCATAAGCAGGAGGGCTAATTGTAAAGCTTGGGGTAGCTCTCATCAGAGCTCGGCAGAGAAAATGCCACAAATAGGAGACGAAGAGAATAGCAAATCATATTATAACTTCGGTGTTAAAATGGTTACGAAGCTATTAACAAACATAACCACCCCTACATAGGAAGTGAATGAGCTTGTGTCTGGGTCATTATTGATGCATCCGGTGGGGCCGCGTGGGTTGTTCCAGAGTTTCGGTAGCGGTAGGTATCGCAGGGACGCTCGAAGGTCGATCACCTCGTGGTAGATGTAAGCTAGGCTCACATTCGGGACAGACGAAAGTCTGGGCTCTGGAGAGCCAGGAATTTGGAATTGGCCTTGCGTCTAGACATGTGACTCGATTGAAAACTGACTGGGCGCTAACACCCCTTTATTAACTGGGGTCCGGGGAAGGACGCCGCGAGGTTTATCGTCCAATACGTTATGCGCCAAGATTGTGAAGGAGCTGGTGGCACGCAGTACGGACTATTGTTGGCGGATAAGCTGCCACGAGAAGCAATCCGTATGGGTTTGACCTCAACGTGATTCCCCATGCCGGCCAAAGGTGCCCACAGTTAGGCCGAGCATAGGAGTTTAGTTTAGTCTTTGAAAGACTATTAGTTCAAAGGTTCACGGGATGCGGCTATATACTTTTGGTGTGGTGGTTGTCGGATGAGATTAGGTTGAATTGATTAGTATGTAGTTGAATTAGTTGCGATTACGAAGTAGTGTAGGTTAAGATTATGCGCCATGTATTCGGGCCGACTAGAGTTAAGACTCTTTAGCTTTCTTTAGTGACCATGGGGAATTTACCTAACATACCTGGTAGAGAATCTAGGAGCGCGGGGACTCCAAAATTCTCCAGGTCCCTTTTTTCTAGTTCTTAGATCTTCCTCCACTTTTTTTCAGAATGGGGCCCCGCTACGAGCAAACACAAGCTTCTATATTGCACTTAGTTAACAGGTATGTACCTAGTTACTTACCTACCTAAGCCTTACCGTATGAATAAGATTTTCTCGGCGGCTTCTCCTGCTTTGGTCTTTTTTACCATGTCATCTCATTCTAGAATTATTCCTTTTTCCATCTCACCCTTACGAAGTGACCCAGTGAATCGTCCCTCTTTTCTTCCGATCTACATACTGATCTCCTATGATTTTCAGTAAAGATCTGTTAAGGCAAGATAGGCGAGGCTATATCGTCCGGTTAATCACACCCCTCGTGCCAATGGTTGATCCAATGGTAGATCAAGTAACTGGGATAATCGTTACATCTTCCTGCTTACTAGTCTGAAAACGCGAGCTAAAAAGTCACGATGACAATAACATCATACCAACATTGAGAAGCCATTGTTTGTTAGCTTCACTTCCAGTACGGAATACTTTGCGCTGAAATGGCGTCTATCACGTCCGTCACACAACACCGACTTTAGCCCAAACCGGTCAATTAATCTCGCCCTTTAGCTCACGTAGGTACTTAACACACTAATTACAAACTTGTATTAACATAGCACACGTTATTTAATATTAAGGGGAGTAATACCTAGATCCTAGTATTGGAGGAATATTATGCTATCCTCGTTCTTCCTTGGTGGGCTGATTCTAGGAATAGGTAGAATGAGATCTCTAGCTACAAATGGGTAGCGGCTTAGAGGTATGTACGTATTCTAGGTAATCGAGGGCATGTAACGTCGCGTCCATGGATCAACCACCGCCGAGAACGAGGCTTCTTTAATCCCCCATTTTAAGTCGCTAACTAGAATCCGGGGACGCCAAAGAAATTTGAGATACGAGACTAGCCGGTTACGAGAATCTCACCCGTCTCTCAAGGTCACCACGCGAGCAGACAGATTATGGACTAGGGGCTTCTCAAAATGAACAACAAAGGAAAATAATCTAATCCTTTGCCCTCTAATCTGTTTCATCCGTCCCACACCTTTCGCGCTCAGCCGCCGGCGCTTTTTGCTATTCAACGCGTTTGAGCATCCAACCGAGCCAGCCAGCTCAGGAAGTACGCAAAGTACCAATTCAGTAATTGGCTATTCGACCCCTGCGCTTGCACATTCTCCCTAATTACACTAATATCAGAGATTGATGATATCTGCGACTTGCATAAAGAAATCTCCAGCACTGATTTATACCTTACCCTACGAAGAAATTTAGTCGTAGTGACGATCCAGTCATCTATACTGGTTATCGGGATCAAAAGGATATTATATACCTATATATATGCATATCCGTCCAGAATGTATCCCAATAATATAAAAGATCTACTGCAGATCACGGAATGCGATACTCTATCAAGTGATAGATGAGTACCTATTTCCGTACATTAAGGTACTTGAGAATCATACAACCACTTTCTCGTATTGGGTATAATACCATGCCAGCCTAGAGTGTCTGGCAATATTGATACCAACTTATTAAGAGACTAGGAGCAGTACCCCAGTTGTTTTTTTTATATTTCATTGTTGGTTTGCTGTTAACTAGACCCGCGAAGGGTTTGGCACCAACACGCCTTTCTCCATACTCCCCATCTTCCCCAAATCTCCAGTTTGGGGATTCTACCAGGGCGAGGGATCTTTGTCGCTTTGTGGGTCAGATCCTGCTGCATGTCGGCGAAATCAAGCAGTAGTTAACTGCCCTCCAAGCTCTAGACGGTCTTTTACACCCTTGTCTATAATCCTATACCCTGGCCGCAGTACTGCAGCAACCCAATCAGCGCCGGCCCATCAACAGCAACTGATTCGAGCAGCGGGCCCCTTTCAGTCTAGACCCGACAGGAGACCCCGTGTCTACATAGTACTCGAAAATATTCCACCCCAAAACATAGTAACGCTGAAAGGAGACCAGGTGGTGGCGTGTAACAGTTTACTACGCCAAACAACAACATCCTTTACGCCTCGACAAAGCTTGTTGGATACCTCTTCGCTTAGGTACCACGTTTCCCCCGGACTAGGATGATGGTTCCACCACAAACATGGTAGAATCAGCAAGGGGCGGTGTCTTTATCTCGTAGCATACCGTTTGTAGGTTGTTTTCCGCCAAAATCCTACCAGTCGGTACGGATCCGTACATATATATAACATCTGGCAAATACCCCCCAATCCTACCGTCTCTGTGCTCCCTTCCCTTTGCTACCCCGTCACAGACGCGCCGTCCCCCGCTACTACTTCATACGGCGACGCAAGCCTTGAATCGTGACAGCTTGACTCTTACTACACAGCGGGAAAGACAGGATAACGAAAAGATGGCCGGCGGTGTTGTTGTCACAGGCACCGCCGACGTGGGCCGCGTCGAGGCCCCCGTTACATTCAAGGCATACCTTATTTGCGCCTTTGCCGCCTTCGGTGGTATCTTCTTTGGCTATGACACCGGTAAGCTCCAAGTCTCGAGACTGTGGTAAGCCTTTCCGGTTACTAATCATGTATACATCTAGGTTGGATGAGTGGTGTGTTGGCCATGCCGTATTTCATCAGTCTATACACCGGAATCCCCTACGATTATAACGTCGTCAACGCCGACGGCACGATCGGTGCTCCTATCGGCGTTGACAAGGACGCCTTCACCCTACCGTCAGCAACGCAGTCTCTCTTCACATCGATCCTGTCATGCGGTACCTTCTTCGGCGCCCTTGTAGGTGGTGATATCGCCGACTTCGTTGGCCGACGTCCTACCATCATTACAGGATGCTTCATTTTCATGGTTGGCTGTATTTTGCAGATCTCGAGCACCGACCAGGAGGTTCTATTCGTATTCGGTCGTCTAATTGCGGGTGGCGGTGTCGGTTTTATCTCCGCCGTTGTCATCCTGTACATGTCTGAGATTGCGCCCAAGAAGGTTCGTGGTGCTATGGTCTCCGGATACCAGTTCTGCATTACCATCGGTATCCTTCTGGCCAATTGTGTGGTTTACGCCACCCAATCCCGCCCCGACTCAGGCTCGTACAGAATCCCTATCGGCATTCAGTTTCTATGGTCTATCATTCTAGGCGCCGGTCTTTTCATCCTCCCTGAGTCTCCTCGCTATTTTGTCAAGAAAGGCAAGATTGAGGAAGCTGCTAAGGCCCTTGCTTACGTCCGCGGTCAACCATTGGACTCGGATTTCGTTAAGGATGAGCTGGCCGAGATTGTGGCCAACAATGAGTTCGAGATGCAGAATCTTCCTCAGACTTCTTATATTGGTTCCTGGACTGCTTGCTTTAAGGGGTCATTATTACAGGGTAACAGCAGTATCAGACGAACACTCCTCGGTTCTGGTTTGCAGATGATGCAACAGCTCACCGGAATTAACTTCAGGTATGTACAAAAACGTCCCCGTGTTATTACTGTCAAACCTTTATTCTTTCGTAAAGTGTACGGTTGCTAACGTTCAGTAGTAAGTGCCATCACTCAAAAAAGGAACGATGAATATTTTAGAATTGTAAAGCTGACACAGAATGTTCTCACGCATCAGTTTTCTATTTCGGAAATGTAAGTATTGAATAGAAAAATATCTTAATTTGGGTTTTCTGCTTTTATTTCCTGTCAAGGGAAAATCGTGGAAACATTTCCAAAATTTTAATATTCATTACTATTCTCCTATCTTTCTGAACATCTTTGCTAATGCAAAACAAATAGGTATTTTTCAAGCAACTCGGGACTATTTCGAACCCTTTCCTCATCTCCTTGGTCACGACCCTTGTCAACGTCTTATCGACACCTATCTCGTTCTATACGATCGAGAAGTTTGGTCGTCGTGCTCTACTAATCACTGGTGCTTCCGGTATGATCATCTCCCAGTTCATTGTCGGTGCTATTGGCGTCACCGCAGGAAGAGAAGAGGTTCACAATAGCGCTGCTGCCCAGGCTATGATTGCCTTCATCTGCATCAACATTGCCTTTTTCGCCACCACATGGGGTCCTACCGCTTGGGTCGTCGTTGGTGAGGTTTTCCCGCTACCCATTCGATCCCGTGGTGTTGGTATCTCCACAGCCTCCAACTGGTTCTGGAATACCATCATCGCCGTCATTACCCCTTACCTTGTCGGCGAAGACGAGGCCAACCTCGGGGCCAAGGTGTTCTTCCTATGGGGCTCGCTCTGCTGCATATCCCTGACGTTCGCATATTTCCTCGTCCCCGAGCTGAAGGGTCTGTCCCTCGAGCAGGCCGATATGTGCATGCAGGAAGTCCCCCCCCGCCACTCTGGTAAATGGAAGCCAAGCCACACGTTTGCCGCCGAGATGCACCACGTGGAGGACAACGCCGCTCTAGTAGGCGACACTATCGAGGAGAAGGTCTAAAGAACTGGCCTTTTTTTCCGGTTGCTGTTGAGGGGCGGTAGGCTGTGTGCATTTTTTTGCTTAGAGGAGCGTGGATGTATTAATCGTGCATTTAACCCCTAGTATATATATAGGTTCTAACTATAATATAATTCATATGAAAAATAGGTTTACTAATTTAAAATGTATCCTTATTAGGCGTTATTATTTTATTACGAGTTAAGCGCGTTCCGGTTATACCTAAAGCAATAAAATCTAATAATCGTGGGTACTCGTTTTCACGGAGTGAGAAACAATTTAACCCGGTAGAATGCGGTTCCTATACACTCTACCTTATCAAGTAAATCATCACACTACTCAAGACATACTAAACGAGCATAGCCTATAAATAGGCTATGTCCTTAAGTGCGAACAAACTGCAGTACATTACCTATTAAATTTGATTGGTTGGGCTTTTTGTACTATTCTTATAGTAGTATGTTTTAAAGCTTTTTAAAGTCTTGATTTGTTGATATAAGTGGAAACATATATTGTAGCTACCTAGTTCGCACTTGAGGACATACTATAGTTATATCCTTAGCCCAGGCTTGCAATTAGGCCTGTACCAGTTATAGGTTTACCTCATCGGTTGGCTGAAGCTACTCACAGCATTCCTAGATCGCGTGTGCTAAATAATCCCGAAGGCCTCAAAGTACATAAGCAACCTTTATAACCATATATAGCAACTAATAATTAATCTAAACTCACTTGACAAGCCCCTTGAATAATGTCGTCCCTATGTTACTATTAACAACCATTGAATCGCGGTAAAGGACGTCGAATTATCGCACAAACCTCTCAAATTCCCCGTCATATGAAAGCTCAATATGTAAATAAGAAAACATAATTAAATGTATCAACAGTGTATGGCAATTCATTTGGATTTGGTATTGTTGTTGATATCCCTCACTAGATAAATCTGTCCGTGAAGATCAGTGACCTTGATGAAAAGCTCCAGTGTCTTTAGGGTTTGCGGCTTTATCTCCCCCCGAAGCCTGTTTACTGCATGTTCAAGACATTCTCGTTCGTAGGTAGCAATGTCGAATAGCTTCTGCAGAGCCTCCTTGATATGTGCTTCTTGTGGTTGTGATTGGGATTGAGTAACCCCATTGTCGGACTTCCCAGCTAGTTCTTCGTCGCGGGTTACGGTGTCATATATCGAATAGACGTCGTGGAATTCAGGAAAATTGATACTATTAAGGTTATTCTCTGCAAGATCCCGTTTGACGGAGCCATAGTCGTTGTATTGGCGACACATAACGGCGAGATGACGGCAAACATCTTGTGCAAGGTACTCAGCAAGCGTGCTAGGGAACGGATTGGTTCCCGGAGGAGCGATGAGGCATCTGAAGAATTCGAATGAGTATTGACAGCTAGTGGTGTCCGCCGAGGTAGTGTGTACCCAACTATAGTAAGATGCTTGAGCTTGAGTGAAGATTTGGATCTTGTCTTGCGGGTGGGACATTGATAGCTGGGAGTTGTGCTTGCCATGGGTGATATGTGCTAGGATGAAGGTCAATAATTCCTCCCTAAGCCGGCGTTGTAGGACGCTAGTAGCAGTAGAAACCTTCCTGTGACTTAGAATGTATGTGGTGAAGCGAGAGAGTACCCGTTCTGCGTCCTGTAGAGTCTTGAAAGGGTACAAATTATTCGAGTCTTGAGGCTCCGGCTTCTCGTCGCTCTCACTTGCGCCGAGTTTACGTGTCTTGCTGCCGTTGACCACATGGTTCCTGGGATTGCTATTTTGATTATCTGTTGTTTCTTCAGGGACGTCTTTGCATAGCTGATAAACAACGGTCCTGAGAGATTCAAACTTTCCTATTATTTTGTCATTGCCGGAAATATCCTCAAGATACTTATCAGCTTGGAAATTTAGCATGGCTATGATCATCATTTCGTAGAGAGCCTCGGGCGATAGGGTGAAATTTGTCGCATTATTGCACAGAGTCCATGTTATAGGGATATAATCGAAATACTTAGCACTCCCATTACCATTGCTTGGGAATACTTGGAGTTCTGACTGTGTAGAGCGTAGTATAGGTGCGAACATATATCCCTCGATGATGGATGCCTGTAGTCTCCAAACCGGCTCTTGGGAAAATAGTGGTAGTTTGGAAAAGAAGTGTGTATAATCACTAATTTGATTCGTTGGTGCCAGGAAAAGCCCAGTAGCTTTCTCGCTCCAGTCACGAGAACTAGAAGCCCGAAGTGCGGCCAGACAATAGGTCTCTGATAGGAGTTTAGAGCCGTAAGTAACTTTTTCCACCCAGATGAGTTCAGGCGTGTCCCATCTCCCTTCGTTTGCCTCTAGGTACTTAACGCCGCGATCAATACTTTCACGCGTCTTTATATCGAGGATTCCAGCAATCCATGGCAAAGGGGCAAGTTTCTTCAAAGTCAATACCGCGTACGCAGTGATTTCTGGTGAATCTTTCCAAGACCCATTGGACGACTGGCCATCGGCGGTACGTATAAGCATTTGCAAGGTTATAAGTGGGATACGTTGAGAGATTAGATTCGTAGAAAGCCCAGCAATGTGGCCTTTGTCCCAGACTTCAACTACTTGCGTCAACGCCTCAGCTAAGAGCATCATTGAGTATTGGGGTTCCATATTCTATCCGATCATTAGTAATTGGTGTATAAATGCGCTTCAGGTACCTAAGACCACTTACCCATTTGTCAGACACTTTCCCCTCGTACCATGTTTGGCAGAGAAAGTTTAGCGATTTGTTAACCTGTGGAATATAGAGAGACGGGTTTGTGGATCGAATGATGGCGTTAAGGACATTGCAGTTGGCGCTAAAAGACTCTGTGGATTCGTAACTATACGTCTTGAAGTGTGTTTGGGACTCGAAGGTCTTGATCATATCCCCGCACGACACTGGTCGTTTCAAGAGGCTTAGGGTCAATATTGCCCTCGCCGTATCATCTGCATCTGGTAGAATGCCTGGAGCTGTATTGCATATTAGTCTTTAATACTGAAACTACTATGTCATTATTAACAGTATCGTACCAAATCCAGTGGTTTCCGATCCATCATGTAGTTGAGTTTCTAGAAAATTCGTTATGGAGTAAACAGTATCTGGTCCGAGATCCTGTACGGTGAAATCCGATTCTAGAAGTGTTGAAAGAACCTGAAAGAGTTTTAGTGAGAAGCTAGCTGGAATTTGGTGGCTAATTGACCTTACCCAAGTAATTTCAAATATTGTGATGGGAAATGCAGATGGAACTCCACCATTACTTGCATCTACAACGAAGCGTAAATAAGCCTCCGCGTCCTCGCTCCACTTTGAGGCGTTCATGAGATACGCTGCGGTCGACGATGGGGAAGCCATCATCGCTCCATGGCGAAGGTGATGGGACATCCTATCAAAGTTGATCTTGCCGATGAAACCTTCCAAAGAATGAAGCAGTGTTGTCTGATGTGGCGAATATAAACTCCCCTCCGAGAATTTAGACAGTTTCCGAGCGTTCATGTCCATCAAAGGCCCAAACCCGGGAAATTTGAAATCCATACCCTCCTTAGCAAGCAAATCAAGGAGTGTCGGAACCAGTATCTCGAATCCCACGTGGCATGTAGAACAAACATCCCAAGTTTGTAATTTTTCTTGTAAGTATGCACATCCGCGAGAAATTCGAGCTGCCAGGTCAGACACTGTTATAGCGCCTAAGACCATGGGGTTCGCTCCAAGTTTCTGTAGTGCTAGAACCGCTGCCATGGTATTAAGAATACCATCGACTTCTACACTATTCTTACCAAAACTACCCTCCGACGTCTGGCTCTTCAGCAACTGCTGAAAGCATTGGGGATATACCCAGCGAGATACGGTCTCGTTCCCCTGATTTTCGGTCTTGATCACCATCGCTACCCACGCAGTGTCATAAATAGACATTGTCATTGAGCTTGATCCGTGATAAGGGGATCCAAGTGATTCTTCTATAGACTTAACGGCTGCCCTGGCCCTTAACCCTAAATGAGCTATGGCTGGTTGCATTTTATAAGTCTCGACGTAATAACGTGCTAAAACAGGAAAGCTTCAAGGGGTTCGATAATGTAGAATGATAATTTGAAAGTCAAAGTCCGAGCTATATTTGCTGAGCTAGCTCTACTCTGTCTAAATCGAGGAGTCATTTAATTAGCTATATTGTAATGTTTTAGACTAGACTAAGATTGATTATATATAAGGGTATTCTCTGAGACCTGTATTGGGATTACTATGACAACCTTCTCTATTGGTAATACCCCAACACTGATCGGATAGCGAACTAACCTCGCCATATGTATGAATTAGGTACCTCATGTATATCGATCGATCGATCGGAAGCAAAGGGCAATGACCAAATGCTTAACTGCATATAACTATAAGTAGAAAGAGTTTCCGTCGGAAACAGGCCGCGTCATGAATTTTGCTTTTCTTATTACGACAGGAAGATACGCCTCATGTAGGAAGCTATGTGTTGACATGGCGGATGTCACCTCAGGCACCTAAGGTTACACCCCGGTAGGATCACTTGTGTAACACTTCTTGCAGAAAATGAGTATTTCGTGGTGATGTATAGACTATGATGGAAACATATTTTGCGTGATAGGATGCGCTACCCGCTACTAGAATAAACTCATGGGATATGTGAATAGAAACCCCGTATACTTCGGCGTTCGGTCGCTCATACTTGTGTTGGTGTGTAGGACAATTGTTGGTTCTTGTTTCTAGAGGTGACGCTGTACATTAACGCATACAACATAAGACAGCCACAACCAAGAAAGGTAAATGCTATGCCACGTATGTTTTGAATTGCATTGAGCTATACTAGTAGCCATTTCGTATCTAAGCCGTACCGGGTACCTACCTGATATTTCAAAGTTTTGGAGTGGAATTAGGGACGTACTGCGTAGGATATAGAAGTCTACCTACGAAGCAACAAAACCCATAAGCACATTGAAAGAACCTCCCAGTGTGTCTTATAGACGAAGTTCGTATTTATCTCCCAAATACGCCATGGATGCGAATGATACGATTGCTACTCGTGGAGGAACATTGCGTTATCTTGTTCCTGCTCCTTTCTCCTTTTCTACTGTCATCGCAGCCATTGTAGTCTGCTTTGTATGGTATACTATGTTCAATAGAACAGGGAATGAGATGTTTAAAGCACCTATTATAGGCCCCGAAGACACGATCAGAGCCAGATGGCAATTCTTTCGAAATGCGTCCACATTCTTGAATGAAGGATATAAGAAGGTAGGCAAAGTCCTCAGCCCGTATAATCGAATGGGTATATACCTAGATACTTATAGCAAATAGTATAAGGGCAAGATCTTCAAACTATCAGGACATGATATCCTCGTCCTTCCTAGCAAATACATTACTGAGCTGAGGAGTATGCCCGATGAAGAGCTAAGTTCAATCCAGGCCAATATCGATGTAACGAACCCAGCACTCAGTTAATCGTATGATTCTACTAATATGAACTATATAGAACTTTGAAGGTCTATACTCAACTACTGCCATCCTCACTGAAGGGAACTTGCATACTCGCACCATTCAGAGCAGACTGACACCTAGACTGCGTCACCACGTACCAGTAGTGCAAGAGGTATTGAATAGACACTTTCCCGAAGAGCTTCCTGCGACCAAATGTTAGTGAAAATCATCCCTGCAAGATACAATGTGTCTATGGCTGTTAATGACGATCAAATTTGGTAGATGGTTACTCCAAAATAAAGGGTTTCCATTTGATCCTTCGTCTAGTGTCTTTTATCGCAGCTCGCCACTTTGTCGGCTCTCCCCTGTGCGAAGATGAGGAATGGCTCTCAGTAGCGCTAACCTATACTGAAAATGCCTTCAAGACCATCATCGTCCTGCGCATTTTCCCCGACTGGGCCAAGCTGTTCGTTGCAGTCTTCCTTCCATTTTCGTACCAGGTCAGCTGGGCACTTAGAAAAGCCAAACGCATCGTTATTCCTCTTATCGAAGAGCGACGTAAGCGTGAAAGGGAAGATCCTAACCACACGAAACCTGAAGACTTCTTACAGTACATGATGGATGGAGCTGGTGAATTTGATGGCCAGCCCGACAAGCTTGCCCATCGTCTGTTAATATTGACGCTTGCCGCTGTTCATACTACATCCATGGCTGCTACACAAACGCTATTCGATCTATGTGCGCACCCTGAATATATTGAACCGTTGCGACAAGAAGTTTTAGAAGTGTTGCAAAGTGAGGGAGGATATACGAAACAGACTCTAACGCATTTTAAGAAACTAGATAGTTTCATGCGAGAGTCCCAGAGACTGAATCCCCCCAGTTTACGTAAGGGTCACTCTAGACTTCGGCATGTGCAACTTAAGCAGAAAAAAGAAACTAATTGAGTCTATATATGTAGTCGGATTCAAACGCGCTGTTCGAAAGCCCCTGACGCTATCTGATGGTACTTATCTTCCAAAAGGTGTTCATCTAATGATGCCTATCGCACCCGTTGTGCTCGATCCCGAGGTGACACCAAATCCTTACACATTCGATGGCTTACGACACTACCATAACCGCGATAAACCGGGCGAGGCACACAAGCATCAATTCGCTACTACAAGTGATGATAACCTTCATTTTGGACACGGGAAGTATTCCTGCCCTGGACGATTTTTAGCAGGCAATTCGGTCAAAATGATAATCTCAAACATCTTGCTGAGGTACGACTTACGATATCCCGAAGGTGTTACGACCCGGCCGCCTAATGTGTGCCTCCACGAATACGTGTTCCCGAATCCCGAAGCCGAGATTGAATTTATGAGGAGAGATGAAAAGTCCGAATGGATAGACGATTAACCAAGATAGTTTCCGCGATAACATATTATGATATCTTACTCCTATCATAGATATTCAAAATATTATAAGAATACTTGGTTAGGGCTTAGTTGATTCCGGGATATCGTGAATGTGTATGCTGGCTGTATTAGGGTGGGTGTTATTAGCTGAACCAAGGTCTCTTTTGGGGCATCAGGGAAATCTCAGGTACCGCCTCAAAAGGCAATACATCTTTCGATTGGCTACCTAGGTACCTAACTACCTTCCACTTATCGTAAAGACATGATACTTGATTATATCTCTTTACTCAATAACCATCCGCCATGCTGCAGACGCTGGAAGACTCTAGTAGGATCGTATATCTTACTAATATCCAATAATTTCTTAAAATTCTCTGCTCCATAGCTCGATAAAGCATTTTGACCATCATATGCATCGTTCATAAACCGGTAGTCAAGTTGGGAATTATGAACCGCCGAAACTTCAGCAAGACGCTGCCCTAGGTTGACAATGAGTTGCATCGCGACAGTATCGTCTTCCGGATTTTCCCATTGTAAAGTACAATGAATCCCTAAGAATAATTTTAGTTATTATGAATAAGTTAGGTAGGCAAGTTAGTACATGTAAAAAGGTATATCTTGTTCTGGTGGATTTCCCAATCGACGCGCCGTTGCATTAGTATGGTGGCTACTTTCAACCTACCAACTTAGGCGAAGTTTATAGGGTGCAAGTTGATGCATCTTGAATTATGAAAGGAGTAAGACTTACAGTCCTGATCCACCACTTCCAGCCCCAATGGCGTTTTGGACGAGGCTTTTACGGCGCTCACAGAAAAAAGTTGCGACCCATAGCTCATAGTCCATCCGGAGGCTATCGCTTGCTCGGCAAAAGAGGTGTAAGCAGCGTAGCCGTCACGGTACGTCGCGTTATCCCGTTTATGTGGTAACGTCACCACATAATGCCTATTTCACCGATAATGAATGTAAATTAGCCAATCAGGTGTTCTCTACTGTATATAATGGATTACCTAATTGTATTGAGGGCTTGAATCTACACGTACCTAAGCGGGACCGTTCCCGGGTCGGGGAACTGGGGACTTGGTAGAGCGAAGTCTGCCTGGGTTCCGACTGTTGAACTAATTCCTTCAGTTGCAGGCTCGATGTCGTAGAAAGGTCTAAAGACATCTGGAAACTCCGTAGTATCTGCATAAAAAAGCCATACGAATGAGCGCGGGGAGCTGGTATCTTGTGATAGTCCAAAAGCAAGGCTCGCCTTGTTATCATGTGAAGCTAAATGTCCGTACTCTATAAGTGCATCCAAGAGCTTCTGGTTTTTATCAGATGAGAATGACCTGTACAAGGACCAAACTTTTTTAACTGGGAGTGTTTTGAACGTGAAGGACGTAACGATGCCATAATTTGGGCCTCCCCCTTTGAGAGCCCACAACAGGTCTGCTGCGTATTCCTCGGTAGCATGTATAATTGACGAATTCGCCAAAACAACTTCCGCTGCGATCACAGATGCGGCCGTGACACCCGCAATGCTACTGAACCATCCTTGGCCGCCAGCAAGCGTCTGTCCGCCTACTCCGGGGCTAGAGTCTCTGGCTCCATTAACGGAGACTCCAGTACCATTCACTGTCGAACGTCAATATATATGATATTATGGCAGATGGGCCTAAATGACTCACAAGCTTTGTATACTTCCCCCCAACGCCTGCCCACCCCTATAGTTACATTGGTACCGTCCGCGCTAAGTGAGATGCCATTGAGATTAACCAAGTCTATGATAACTCCCCCCTCAACGCTGCTATGATTTTTATTAAAGTCGTGTCCTCCGCTCCGGATGGAAAAAGACGCCCCAGTAGACGTGACGATGGATAATACCTCTGCTACGTCTTTGGGGCTGGCAGGAGATACAATGCATGATGCATTTTGCCAGCAATTAGAAGACCTAAGAAATGTTAGCACTAGTGAATGCTGATTAACACTGGGCTGAAAGATACCAGGAGACTATTGTGCGATTCAGGTAGGTACTTGAGTTAGGAGCAATATATTTTGGTATTTCTACTCCGCTCGATTCTTCGCTAAAACGTGCTTGTAATTCGTCACACGCTACTAGTGCTCCAGAAGCAGCTCGGAAAATAATAGATAGAAGGGTGAAAATATATGCACTTGGTAGCATTACCACTCCTAATCGAGTCTTCGACATGACCACCGTTATTGTCATTCTAATATAGCAAGTACTATACACAAAGCAGACCAGTGACTTGGGAAACTAATAAGCCATAGAATTGAAAATAGATTATGAGCTAGCAAAACTTCGTTATATAACGAAGCAAATGAGCTATGAATAGGAAACAGGAAAATAAATCTGACGAAATACGAGGAATCATGGTCCTATCCAAGACCGAGCTGCTGCTATAGTTAGAATCCCTTGGTCCTGGGTGTCTCAGTGCCTAGTAATACCATCATTGTTAACCGGAACTGGCGCGTCCCTACCATCATGGCCATGCAGGTATCCTAATCTCCGTGCATTTTTCACGGAGTAGCAGCCTTATTCAGCTAATAAGCGTGGTAAAGATCCTATTATTAGGCGTCGCGTATTGTGTTCACCCACACAGGCTAGCGGACTAGGCAGGATAGGATGAACTCAATGGCAACGATCCCAATCGTCCATGATTAATAGCATAGTAAGATCCGGCGCGAAAGGTCGAGACGTAATATTTGTCCGACTATCTTGATGCAATACACCCATATGTACGGCACAATGCTTGATATTAATGCCACAAAAAGGGATAGCTGAATGATAAAGGGGCCACGCATTTCAAAATCCTTTAAACTAGTGGCGTTGCCCGTCCGCGCAAGCGCGTACGGGAGAAAGGGGGAGAAAAGGGGGGGGGATCACGCGCAAAACTGACGCCGCAGCTAAAGTCTGGCCTCTAATTGGCTAGCCACACCTCAGCGCACGTCCGATGAATTTTTTGTAGAATCAATTGAATTATTTCAGTATTGTATAAAATTCTTAATAATTAATCTTGTTAGATAGAGCTTGTTTTGCGTGATCTTTTTATACTATTTGCATATGTTTTAGACGTTGTGCGATAAAATGGCAAAGGAAAATGTCGCCAATTGCGGGGCGATTCTAAGGATCTGATTGGTTAGAAAAATTGTGGCGGTACTAATAAAATATAGGAGAGTACCTAGATTCCGGAAAGTTTATTTTCCTTCGGTATTCTTTACCGTTATAATTATTTCAAGATGCACGCCCTCCTATTAGCTCAAATCCTATACCGCCCCTTGGCAGCCTGGCAGTATCCTTATCTTTCAACCTTATCTAACAGCCTCTTATTCAGATTAGCAGGTTGCAGTGCTATCATAAAAGGCACATGCGCGGCCAGGTGAATTGTATGGGGGATACAAGTAGTACTTGTGCGATACCTGCCAGCCCGCTATTCATGCAATTATACCGAATATACTGCCCCAATAGGTAGTCCGCCCCGTACTGCCCGACTACATACCTGTAAAGTAGCATCCACGGAAGTAAAGATTGTAACCATAAGTGGTTTTATCTACATTACTACTCTGTACTCCGCCTCGTAAATATTGGATGGGGCTGAAATGTCGTAAGAATCCTTCAGCAAATAAATGCACGCAGGTTTCGTTCTATTAATTGGCGAGTAAGCACTCAAAAGCCACCACCCAGTCGCAATCGAAAATTGATGGCCGAGTCTTGGCATTTTGAACCTCTTTGAAAATGCCTAGACCCGTTCGATTGCGACTACCACCATAACATAGCATATACCCACGTTCCACAACATAAATATCAGGCGTTCTCTTTCGCTACCTCCCTCTGCCCATAACTAGGTATGTAGGATTCAAAAGAAACCGCGAAGACGCATACGTTCGTCAGCTTACAACGAAAGCCGGGCGGCCGATACGTGGATCACTATTAACTGGTGCATCTTGACACTATTAGAAGATCGCTCCGGGTATGGTGACAGATAACCCCCGAGAATTGAGACACATATTATCAAGGAACTCTAATTGGTCTATTAAAGCCTCAATCTCATCTTACTCGGTGTGTATGTACTCGGATAGCGGCGTACTTTTGGGGGCTGTCACGAGGTGGAACCAAACAGCATGGAAACAACTTCGTTGTTCCGCGAGGAACTCTAACCTATCTGGCGAGCCCATGGCTCGTATATGCATACATGTTCTTTGTCCTAGATGTCTCATCTAGAATCCTGACAGGGGCTCACTAGTTGCTGAGCGCTGTACGTAAAACCAGCGAGTAATCGTTCCTACTTTAATATCAAGAACATTAGGTAGTTGATTACAGGTAATAGACCGTTCTTTCATAGTCGATTTTGGGTTTTTACTATGGATACTAGGAGGAAACTAGATACTCCTGTATGCAACAGGTAGAATTTGTAAGTAGAGGAGAGCGTGTAGGACTGGGTACCTACGGTTCATTCTGGCTAAAAGTTTTTGCATCGGGTTTGGATAATTCTATCTCATAGATTTTCTGTCTATACGAACATAAATCCTAGGTTTCAAATACTATAAAGGACAATCTACCTATACACTACAGACGAGCTCCCAGATAAGTTCATACTTGGTAACCTCGTGGAGTATGAGCCTCCCATGGGTGGGTTTGCACCCTATAATTGCTTTCACGAGCATCTAGATCGAATATCTCAGTGCTTTCAAATTCACCTGTGTTTGTCTTATTCCAGGCGTCTCGGCTGCCTGGCGGCTGCTGGTCGTGTGATCCGGTCCTGTTCGGACCTTCATCCCCATCGCGAGATGTTTTCCAGCGAAGATAGCCCTGGCTAGAGGTTTTCAAATAAACAAGCTTGTTGGACTTGAGCACTGGAAACTTCATGAATTTGAATAGACCGGGTACCATAGGTAGTGATCCGCATAGCACCAGAAAAGCCGGCTCGAGAACGGTGAAAATAATAGTGACGGTTGTATTGTCTGGGATAATAGAGAGAATTAGCTAGGCTTTGCTTTTCGGTGGATTGGGATATGGCAGGAAAGACAACCTACATGTGGAGTCATAAGGCGAATTGTGATTCGGGGAGTGGCCAAGGAGTACCGTACGTGCGAAGGTGATAGCTGTGGCACTTTAGAACATGTTAGTAATTGAGTGTCTCTCACCATTTCCCCCTTTCCCCGAAGATATCCTGAAGTAAACTACCACAAAAGGGGACGTACATAAGACCGAGGAGAAATATAATGCTAATATTGAGCTTTGATACGGATGAAAGTTGCAGGCTCCAAATGGCAGGTTGTGGGAGGATAAGGACGATGATGTCTGTAGAGAGGTTCACGGCGGCAAAAGTGAGACTTATTGAATCTGGCGGGAGGCACTGGGTCGGCACACCCCAAATGCTGCTAAGGGGTTTGCAAGGGAGGAAGACGCTAAGCGTAACGCTTATAAACCACAGGATCGTTATAGTGCCGACGAAATAGATCCCCCATCTCATATATCGTTTACTGAGTGTGAAAACACGGGCATATAGCGCTAGTACAGATAATTTGGCAAAAACCATTGTGAAGATGTAACCGACTGAGATACCAAGTTCAACCTTCGGTTTGAGTCAGTTTGGTAAGGGAACTCGTAGGCGTACTGAATTGTGCTTTCGTACCTTTCCAAGTTTCACGAGGTCGCCATATTTCAGGACCCATACTTGATGTCTTCCGGTACCGAAAGCGGCCGCTGGCTTCTATCAGTATTAATCCAAAACCATTAACTAATAACGACCATTATACGCACAAAGGCATGTAGAGATATTCAACTCAATCAACGGCAACTGGGTTATTGTTAGTACAGTAGGTAGAGAGATAATGCTAGTATGCATTGTATAAGAAACATAAAAATAGAACATACTATTGAGGCAATTGCGAGATAGTCATCCCAACCAAGGGGAGTGCCATTGATTTTTCGAGCCAGTAAGCGGGTAGAAAACACTACTATAGCTAAACCGACGAAGGCGCTGCAGACACCAATGATTACAACACTTTGGTTATCATTGATATGCGCCAATTGATAGTCGATCTCCTCTTGCGGGAGGCTATCCATACTGACTACCGCACGATACGATCCAATCAAACAAAGTTTTCTCAAAGTGTAAGAAGAGAAGATGATGAATATTTGACGATGGTATCCAAACGGCAGACATAGTCCGACAGGCTGGGTGAATCTCTGCTTCATGTATCTAGGTTGGCTACCAAAAAAAAACCCCCAATACTTAGAAGTACGGTTGATCAGCTCCAAGCTCGAAGGCTAGCTATAGTTGTGCTACCACCCCCGTACGCCCCCAAGTTTAGAGGATCTCCGGAGCTCTTCTCCGAAGGATCCTAAATATCGTAGATCGGCAAGCAATCGAAAAAAACAAGAATATTTGTCTCAAACAACCAAGTCGGCGGCGGCTCAGCTACAGCCTGCTGCACCTACAACATATATGCACGTACATAAACACTTGTAATGCACTTTCGCTTTGCCTCGGTGATACAGTTGCGTGCATAACATACCACCTCGACAACTGAGAGGCGTAATGGGTCTTGAAATAGGCTAATGAACACACCATCACATAGGTATCTCCAAAACTCGGACGCATTTCAAGCCTCCATGGGTTACATCTTACCTCGTACTAAGGTATGCGTCTAAAGAATTATCACAGTAGGGCCTGATATTGAATTACTAAATTTAACTGAAAAACAGATGTTTCAATTCAATATTCTTGGTACGGCCCCGAGTTCCTAAGCAAAATACTATGAATAGCAATATTAATTTGGTGTCGATAAACATGTTATTGATACGGATAGAAAATATCCTGAACAGTTCTGATTTACTTTTCGTATTGGAGACCATAATTGTTGTCTGGTTTGCTGCCAGCATCACCGTCGTTTTCTATCATGAATGGGCCAAAGTCAGTATACCAAGGATTGGGAAGAATCCATGGGTCTCGGGTCTTTGGCGGGCTCGTGCCGAATTCTCGAAACATGGAAAGGAATTAACCAAAGATGGCTACGCCCGATACAAGAACTCTATGTACCGGGTGCAAACCGGGGATATGGAACGACTGGTCCTGTCTGTTCGATTCCTGGACGAACTACGAAGATTTCCTAACTCGATACTCGATAGCCGAACAGCTGTTGTCGAGAGGAATCTAGGCTGGTACAATCGCGTCGATATTATATTGAAGAGTACAACCCACGTCGATGTCTGCCGCACTCAACTGATCCAAAATCTTCCTCAAGTGATCAATGATCAAGCAAAGGACCTTGAAAGAGTTTTTCAGCTTGAACTCGGCGCCTGTTTTAAAAGTAGAGGTTTGTCATGTACCTAACCATATCCAATGAAAATAATCCAGAGCAGGCAAACTTATAGACCTAATTACTTAGAATTTCATTTCTTCAATGCCGCTGAGACATTTTTGAATATCGTTAATCGAAGTATGGCTAAACTTCTGGTTGGCGAAAGAATTCATCGTGACGAGCAGTGGCTACAAGCAAGTCTAGATACAACAACAAATACTGGGAGGCTATGTAAGGACCTCCGGGGATATCCGGAAGTACTTCGACCACTGATATATCCCTTCTTGGAAGCACGAAAGGTTTTGGATCACAACTTCAATATCGCACAGATACTACTTGCTAAGGTTGTCAGCGAACGGCGACGTGGTGACCAAAATACGGATATCTTACAGTGGCTAATCGATAGCTACAAAGCAGCCGACAGCGAAGAACTGGACATCCCTTTCCTAACTAACCAAATTCTGTTTGTGGCCATTGCGGCAACGCGATCTACTGCGAGTTCAATAGTGAACACTATTTTTGACGCCATATCACACGTAGAATACCAGGCCGATCTTCGCCAGGAAATCAGAATGGCACTGGCCACACACGGTGGCTGGTGCCTTGGTGCTCTCGAAGAAATGAAAAAGCTGGATAGTTTTATGAAAGAATCCCAGAGGCTTAACCAGCATATCCTCCGTAAGCTCCCCTAAAATAGCCCTAGATTCATTTCTCATAGAAGTCGATTATAGTCTCGTTTAATCGCAAAGTGCGTCGTCAAATTACCCTTTCGAACGGTGTCACGATCCCGCCCGGGACTTTTATTTCAACTCCGTCTTATTGGGCGGCTAGGGATCTTGACGGCATAGCTACGGATGGAGAGTCTTTTGAACCATGGCGATGGCTGAATTTAAGGGAAGAAGCGGAACGGCAAGGCAAGAGCTCCGTTCCGTATCTATCCAGTACCCCAAGCTCTCATGATTTGCATTGGGGGTATGGGAGAAACGCTTGCCCTGGGCGTTTTATGGCCTCCGCAGAAGTCAAGCTTATACTGGCGTGGACACTTTGGCATTTTGATACCTCGTTTCCCAAGGGCCAGAATACAAGACCTGAAAGTCATTTCATAGACGAGAGGATTATTCCTGACCCGAAGCAGAAGATTGGCTTCCGGTTACGATAATGTTAAGATTGTGCTTTAGGGGAAGGCTTGGACCATGCTACAACAGATCTAGAGGCCTCTATACTGTATATCTTTATATTCCCCTTACTAAGGATTTCTCCCACAGAGCAATCAAAACTAAGTTTGAGTACCTGCTTACACAGGGCTCGCTGGATTTCAAACTGATTCTGCTCCATATCAAGAAGTACCTCCACCCTCTCCTCATTCCTCTTTGGAAGTAGCGCACACATGCCCGGTCGATGACCTGCGGGGAATCGCACGAAGTCTGGCCTACCCGTAGCACTAAACAGTAAGCCCCAATCAGTTTGGTAGAGCCGTCCACCTTTAATATCTAATGTTCCTCCTAGGAGGTGCGGCTTCTGCTCAATCGTCTTTGCAAGACCTGTCCTAAGTACATGAAACATACTCTTCTTATTTGCCTGATCACATGGGAAGCATATTATCCAAGTCTGGATTATTGGAGGCCAAATACTGTCCAAGGGGCTGGCGCTGTGTCTGCAGTTGTCCATGTCCTTGTACCCCAATGCTGTCCGATGTGTCGAAATGTAACACGATGTAGATTCTGGGGGTCATAAAGGTGGAAGAAGTGATTTGTGCTTTAAAGTTAGGTACCTAACATTTACTAACATGCATTTCATACCTATCACCTGGGTTATCGAATACCTGACTTGATCCGACCATTTGTAAAGGATCATCCTGGGCGCTTCTATCCCTTTCCCTGTGATTGGAGCTGCATACAAGGACAACTACGTACCTAATATCTCCATCCCATTATATTACACGACATATCTTATTAATTGCATTATGGGCGGGTGGGGTGCTTCAAATGGTAGGCACTTACATATAGTGAAGTACCATGTATTAAGCCGCTTTCTGTGTACTTGAATACATTGGGTACCTGGGTAGATCTATTTTTTTATATAATTATAAAACCCGCCCTCCTAAGTGCCAAAAACACACTACCTACCCGTCACTACATTCACGCTATTACCAATTGGCCTCTAAGCTAGACTCATTCTTAAATTAACATTAAACACTATCATCATGGGGCCACAGCTTATATTTGGCACGGCATCGTTCGGGATGCCTATGACGGAATTCCAAGATTCAGAAACAGTCAAGGGATTGCTCCGAACACTCGGGGAACTTGGCATTACCCGGCTAGATTCGGGGGCCCGGTATCCTCCGTTGAACCCAGGCCGGTCGGAAGAGTTGATAGGCGAAGCAAAAGAACTCAGCAGGGAATTCCTTGTTGATACTAAGATTTACACCGACACTGCAACAGATGGGAGCGGAGACCTAACTGTCGGCGCTATGGCGAAGTCCGTTGACGGGAGCCTGAAGCGTCTACAAGCTGATAGTGTATATTCCCAGCGAAGGTGACATGAAGCTAAGCAGATATTCTGACCCCTTTACAGGTGAATGTGCTTCACATCCATAGGGCTGACCCCGCCACTCCGCTTGAAGAGCAAGTTCACAATTTCAATGATCAGATTACCCAGGGACATTGCAAAAAGGTAAGCTCCTGGTCAGGGTATTCGAGTCAGTAACTAACTGTGGGGTCCCTCCAACGCAGTGGGGCGTGTCTAACGTGTCGCCGCAAGACTTGGAAAGGATGATACAGATTTGCGAGGAGAATGGTTTGCAGAAGCCTAGCTGTTATCAGGGAGTTTACAACCTGGTAACGCGTGGTATGGAAACGAAGTTACTGCCGCTCTTACGTGCTCATGGCATCGTATTCAATGGTTTCCAGTATGGATGTCTTATTCTGATCTCATTCTGATATCTCTATTTCGAATGACTAATAGAATGATAGGCCTTTAGCCGCTGGCTTCTTAACGGGGAAGGTGGTGAATAACGAGCAATCTGGGACTCGATTTGGGGAAGAACACCCTCTCGGGGCCATTTCGCGTCGGATGTTTGGGGGCGAGGATCTCCTGAACGCAATGAAAAAGTTCGATACCGAGGTCAAGGCGCAGGGTTTCACGCCGGCAGAGATAGCAGTCCGCTGGCTCATGTATCACTCCGACTTGGGAGATGACGATGGGATCGTCCTGGGCGCCAGCAAGGTCACACAAATCATCGAAACCGTCAATCTTATTCGTAGGGGGCCATTGCCAGAGACAATACTCTTATCAGTAGATGAGCTCTGGGGTAGTGTGAAAGGCACTCGCGGCGAAATCATCTAATTTGGAGAAGTGCCTCTTACAGTGGCTACCTTGATGGGGGCGGGAGGGGGTAAAATGTTTATTTGTGTCTTGCCTGCATGTAGGTTACCTTCAATATGAAGTACCTTAGGTACCTAAGGTAGGTACCTACTAAGGAGGTAGACATTATGAATTCCGTTAGTACTATAACTTCGAGTTATACATAAATATTGCGTTCTGATTAATAGTATTTTTGGATGTCTTCAACATCAAATTACCGCGGATAGCGGATTCAAAGGCACGGTGTTGTGTGGGTGTAGGTGTGGTTACACGAGCTCAATATAATGAGTAGCTCAATATAATTCGTAAGCAGTAGAAGCAGGCTGTTGGTAGCACCAATCCTTTCGTATTACTCCATGAATACCTCCATGCGGGTGATACGTCGACTCAACTTGTGCACATATCAAAAAGACCTGACAGTTTCAAGCCCTAGTTTGCATTTACAGGGAATATGTCTGATCGTAGTCCTTCTTGAGGCATGGCTTGGTATGAGAAGTTATTCAGTAGCGTCCTATTCAGCTAAACAACACAGAACGCATTCGTCATTCCAATTGAAGTATGGCCCAACGTTACGGTTTCTTTCAGTACCTTCGCCTCAAATTCATCGTCACACTTCTACGGGCATGGGTCGCATTCGGTTCAAAGGAAAAGCAGCAGCGCGATAGAGACATAGTTCCACCAGAGGTCCCTAAGGAAAATATTAGGATTCCGTCTCGCGAGCGTGGGCGATACATCGCTGCACACCTCTATCTTCCTGTGGGATATTCTGACTCTTTGCCGCCGTCAAAACCTTTACCGGTCCTCGTCAATTGGCATGGCAGCGGCTTCATCTTCCCCTTGCTTGGAACCGACGCGCTGTTTTGCGCTCGTATAGCCCGCGATACAGGTGTTGCTGTTCTCGACACAGACTACCGTAAAGGTCCGGAAAACACCTTCCCCTACGCCTTACACGATGCCGAAGACGTTCTTCAGTGGGTCTCGACGCAAGGCCATCGCTTCGACCGGACGCGTGTCGCCGTGTCAGGCTTTAGTTCAGGTGGCAACATCGCTGTCGTCGCCGCAACCGCTTTAAGGAAACAACTGGAAGACATGAACATCCAGATCATTTTATCTTTCTACCCTCCAGTCGATATAGCCAAACCCCCGGAAGAGAAGAAGGTTCCTCACGCTATCAACCGGCACCCGGTCTGGATGTTGCACCTATTTAACGACAGCTATGCGCCAGACGTGAGCTCGAGGTCTGACCCTACCATTTCTCCCGCCTTAGCTAACCTGGAAGATTTCCCACCTACTGTTGCTCTCATCACTGCTGAAGGGGACACTTTGAGGCCTGAAGTGAACGATCTTGCAGAGCGACTAATAACTGGTACCAAGAAGAAGGTCATCAATGTGATCCTTGACGGCGTGCCTCATGCTCTCGACAAAGGCTGTGAGGGAGGGACGATAGAATGGACCCAACGTGAGCGGTCTTATGCGCTGGCTACAAACCTTCTGAAGGAGTCGCTCAAATAAGCAGTGTGATTCTGGTTTTAAGTAATAAAGATCGGCAATTGTAAAGCTCAGTGGGTAGAGGAGATTATCTATTTGATTTACGCTACCTGCCAGGGTATAAGTGAAGTGGGTTAGGGGTAGTTATAGGGATATATCTACTATGTAAGTGTCACGCAGCAGCCTCGTAAGAAGGTAGAAAGGCAGGCGTTACTGGTTCAATACTATCTATCTTTACATTTACTCTATGTGTGATATCCATCATGGGTATCAACTCTGACATCGGGACTTACTAGCATAAAGTTAAACTTGATACCGGCCAAGATGCTTCGGTTATACAGGTACCTATGGCTCATTCCTAGCGGCGTCATGTAGGTACTTCGCTTTAAGAGAAACTTTGTACTAGAAGCTAAAGTTATTTGTGCGAATCCATATAGGATTTCATTGATGTAAATCATAAAATTTCATTCATTTCGCCCACCTTTCTTTTATGAAGAGGAATACGTAGATTTTGACAGTTAGCTCTACCGATTCCATAACCGCTAAGTCATAATCAAGCAAGTATACACCATCTCGATCAGGAAAGTCGTTTTAAAAGGAAAGGCTAGAAGATTGTCAGATCCTAGGGAAGCTCTAGATATCCTCGCGGTCACGGCAGACAACGCTCCCCTCTGTGATAGCTACGGCTCAATATGGCCAGATCTTATTGCTCCAAGGCCCAAAGAATAGAGTACGGAAGCAACTTCAAATTTTATTTTGCTGCTCAGAGTCCTTTGCAGCTGATGGCCTTTGTGTTGCTGTCAGGTGACAAGGATTACGATAGGTATATGACGTGATAAGGGGTCTAAGATCTAGCTTGAAGCTATCTACCAGCTAGTCATTCACTATGTTGTATATAAGGGGACCTTGGTTCCCTCTTAGATTTAGGAAAGGGCAGTCGTTGGTAGCATTCCGAAATATATACCATATGAGCTATTCACCAGCTAGTCACCTGTCACTCCGTAGTGGTGATATACCAAGGGCAGCCTCTGACAGTTGCATCGTTTTCGTATGTTTGGATGGGGCCAACCTCCGTTGCGCCGATTTTGAGGACCTGGTTATTTTTCTTTACATCGTTAAACCTGTTTAGGATGCAGTGGAAGATATTTGGTCGCCACCTTCGGGAGACTCAATAAGTACGGAGTCCCTAAGTACTTGGAGGATTCAACAAGTCCAGTGATGTGTTCGGCCACTGGTATTTCGGATACGGACCTGCTCGTTAGACATTTGAATCCTGTCAAAATTGACATAAATTACGCTCAAATATGGGTTTATCGCTGTACGAAGTATTAGGCCGGGTCTCGCTTACTTACCTGGTATGAAGAGTAGAGTCAAAATGTGGCTGCCTAATGTTCCTACTCATAAGATCGTTCGATACCTATAGATGAAATAGTGGCGTACGTCGTCCCAAGCCACGCACGGGGACCGACCGAGTAGAGGCGGTATACTATCGAATCTCTAGTTTCAAATCCATCCAAGACTATAGAAGACACTATACGTATCACCAAGGACCCCGCGATATAATCTTTGGGGTCGACTCCATTTCTATCGATCAATCCAGGAAGATTCGCATAGAACAGCAGATACAGCTTATGAATTTATTTATCAAGGCGTATCGGTGATACTGGTTGCCCTCACGGGTAATAATGCCGATTCCGGCTCTCTATGAGCGAGGCCAACCGATCTACCTACCTAAGGTAGGTACTTATTATAGAAGCGAATAGTGGCCACGTTCAATTAGAAGTAACATTACCCGCCTGCAACGCTCATAAGGAGTGTTGCCGAGCAAGATTTCGGATTAATATCGTGGTCGGACATTGCAAGAGGCCTCGTTCTCCCCTCGGCGTCTATACTTTGTAGACGATCAAGTTTACCTCAAACGAAATGTTTCCTAGGCTCGTGAATTATTTTTAACCTTGCCCTCGCCTCAGCACACCCACACGAGCGGTGGAGTGTTAAAACTCCGCTCGAAATCGGATTAGGCTATTCGCCGGTAGACACTCTCGAGTTAACATAATTCATGAACCCTTTTGTACTCACATCGGAACAATAGGATGTCATAGCAAAATTGGACGTCGAGTTCGGTCTCAATGTATGGGCCAGATGTATCGGGACGTGCTCGTCGAGGCTAATCAAAGAAGGCTCCGACGCGATTAATGCTAGGTATATTGGCGGTATTAAATAGATTCAATGCATCATAGCTAGTCTCCAGATACTTTAGGGGTACGTTGAGGTAGAGGGTTATTAAATTTATGGCATGAGGACGGCGTACTAGCCGCCCCGAGCCAGCTATACGGTTGTGGACAATCCGGAAAGGACTATTAATTCCGTTTTCTCCGAGTTCCGTCAGATTAACTGTTATATCGACCTAGGTACGGTGTCAGGATTTATACCCGTTGATGGTTGTCATGCACAAAGTGAGTGTTCGGGTAGGTAGACCAGGTAATAGATAGTATCGAACTAGTAACGCCTGGCCTTCTATCCTCTTACGAGGGTGCTGCACGCCTCTTACAGAGTAGATAGACTCCTGCACCTGCCCCTAACCCACTAAACAAGTCAACGGAGGAAGCCAAGCCTTTCTTCTAGCTCAACAGAGAGAATTTTCCCGAAGCAGAGGGAGTTACAAGCCCTAAAGTTGATGTATCTAAAGCTAGGTATAAATACACTAAGGAAGATGATTCCGACGAGCCAGACGAGTCCGACTCCGGTGAGTAGCAGGATACGAATGGAAAGCGCGACAAGGATTTAGATTGTTTACTAATAGGAAACATAGATGTCTGCTATCCTGACCAATTATACTTCGTACCTAGTTCTCGATTTAGCTGAGAGCGTTTATAAGAAGGGAATTTCTAGAAAAGTAACGTATTACCTAAGGTTTAGAACTTCCTCCTTGATAAACTATATAAAGACTTGATTATCCCTCGTTTGAAAATACTATTCCAGCCATACTGCACTTTTAAAGGCTTCAAAATTTTTTTTCTTTTTTAAAAGATTAAGTATCTTATATTTGACCTTTTGATCTTAAGTTTCCTAGTGAAGATAGTTACCGGGTGCGTTATACGTAGATAACACGAAAATATAGTAATTAATATATTTGAAACTCTGTGATAGCTACAGAGTGCTTATGTATCTTGTTATTGATAGTGATTTGTACAACTGATCTGCTTGAAACTTATATTGCGACTCTTGGTTGTTGAAACGGAAAATGCATGTGTGAAAATTGATAGAAATTAAGTGTAAGGTACCTAGGTACATGTAGTAATCACACCCTCACGTGCCTAGGTACCTAGGTAGGTTGAGTCTACCTATAGGAGGTACCCGTATCCAACTGTGGGGTAAGCAACCTAATAGGCATTGTAGGCAGGTACATACGACGCAAGTCCTTATAGGCAGAGTTCCGTGACGTAGTCCTTGTTGCTTAGCATGTATAGAACACACTAAAACACAACCTTTTCCACATTTCGCAAACACGAATTCCTCAGATATCTTCCATAAACCAACTCCCAACAGCGCAAGTGTCCGGATATTGAATACCAGGCTTCTAAATAGGGGCTTTTATATCACTATATCAACTATAACCGGCTTGCAATTATGGAGAGAAAGAGTTGGGTTGTTTTGGGTACTTGGCGCTTCGTCGCATTTGCTGCTTAGAAAAGATAATGCCACTAACGTTTCATGCAGAGAATAATCCCGAGGTAATGAATCAATTGGCCGCAAATCTAGGTTTGTCCCAGGAGTTATCATTCTACGATGTCTGGTCGCTCGACGAACCTGAACTCCTAGCCCATATCCCTCGGCCGGCCCTGGCTTTACTAGTCATCTTGCCCCTTACCCCTGCCTGGAAGGCAGAGCGTGAGGCTGAAGATTCTGGGAAAGAAGACTATCAAGGACGCGGGCCTGAGGAGCCTGTGATATGGTTCAAACAGACTATCGGTAATGCTTGCGGGTCCATCGGGTTCCTGCACTGCGCTATCAACGGCCCGGCTGCGGAGTACATCCAACCGGGCTCCGATCTAGACGAGATCCGTCGCCAGGCCATCCCTTTAGGAATGAAGGAACGGGCCGACTTGCTTTATAACAGTGTGCCTCTCGAAAAAGCTCACGAATCGTGCGTCCAGCTGGGAGATACGGCCGCCCAGAACGAAGAGCATCTGGGACAGCACTTCGTGGCGTTTGTTAAAGCCGGTGGTAGACTCTGGGAGCTGGAAGGATCAAGAAAGGGTCCGATAGATAGGGGCGCACTTGCGGACGACGAGGATGTTCTTAGTCCGAAGGCGCTTGATCTAGGGCTTAAAAAAGCTATACGCCTTGACCAGCAGGCTGGAGGTACGGATTTACGATTTAGCTGTATTGCTCTATCTCGGAAAGCTTAAGTCTCCGAGGGTAGAGGTATATTGCAAAGTCTTCAAGGCCTGTATTTTATGCGCAGTTTTAAACCAGAACCCTTGAGGAGTACTAGAGTATTTGGTATGTCCTAAGTCCAGCTTGCTATTCGCCCCCCTCCCCCCCTATCGATATATATCGTATTCGGACTTGAGTGCCTAGAATAACGGAAATACTGAATTTTTCCCATTCTGTGTTAGCAAGTTTAGTTCCCGTGTGTCGGTCTAGCCAGGGCTGAATCAGCCTGAGTTATACTAGTCCTCTTTAGACTAGGTCCCTAAGGTAGTTAGATACTGAATTAACCCATTTACGCTAGTGATTATTCCGTGTCTAAGGGTGTAACTAAAGAGGAGTATATTGAAGCACCTTAAAACTGAGACTCGGTAGTCGCCACAAAGGGGCATGAGACTATAAGAAGAGTACTATAAATTCCAAACCATCAATCGTGAACTAAAAGCAAAGAGGGGCTACACCGCTCATCCAATTGATCACGTATAGGCTTCGAGTTGGGAAGTAGGACACGTGGGATAAGCGGTCTAACCCCTGAGTGGAATAGGCGTGTAGTCGGGATGTCGTCGCCGGGACTCGGCTGCGGCTCAAGCAAGAATTGCTGAAAAGGGGTAAGATCATCGATAGGTCATATGTTACTCGAGGTCCGCATTCTCCAATGCAGTCTCCAAGGGGTGCTTCAGCTAAGGGTTCGGTTACATAGGACATGGCCGGAAAAGCACATTTCGAATATAGTGATAGATAAATTCAGGGGGTCTAGGCTGATCTAGTGGTTTTCGTTAGGACTACGTAATTTCTATGTCATACATCGCTTCCGAGATCTCCCATGTTGCGCTCAGGTTACTCGCAGCGAAAGTTAAGATCAGTGAAAGTTTTATAATGGCTAACTACAAAAAAAAAAAACTCGGATATTTCAGGTGGGAGAGATCGGATGGATTACCGAACTCGCTTTCCATTTTCTCGGTGGAGTATTGCTTTACCCCGTCTTACCCCCACATATTCCGTTATTCCAGTAGGTAGGTAGTTCCAGGTACGCGTGCTCGGAATCGTTAGCGCAGAACGCCTACCCCAACATTTCAATCCCGCTAACTCCTACCCAGCTACCCGTTAGCTAGCCCGGTTCTAGGTACTTCAGGTACTATATTTTTGTTTCACTTAGCAAGCTTTTAATGTACGTCAGCATCTGATTTGTTGGTAAACTCTCTCAACATCAATTGGGGAACCACTGGAATTATGGGTAATCATCTCTTTCCCTTTTCTGTTTCGCCAGATAAGGTTTCTCTATTCCAATCCCATCGTGATCTCTTATTATTTTTTTTCCTCACTTCTTTTTTTTCCTTCATGTTAATCTATTTTTTTGATTAAATTTCCTCCTCATTTTGGTATCCACCCCACAGCTGCGCTGCGCACTGCACGCTGCGTGCCGCATCTTTATTTTCATTTGTGATCTCCTTACATACGCAGCCCCAATCAGACTTCCAGTCACAGATTCTACGCGGCCAGCCAGCTAAAGCTATCTGGGGCTGACCGTTCTTCAAGCGCAGGTTTGACAGGCATCAAGGGGGTATCCGTTTATGCCGTCTCCATCTGATATCTTATAAATCACCGGCAAGATGCGGCATGACGTCGAGCTTAGCTCCTTTTTTACGGGTAGCCAAGCCCTGGCATCTCCCGTCAACACTTAACCCTTTTTGACGTCCTTTCAAGATGGCCTCTGACTGGGGCGCCTATGAGCTTGAATATTAGCTGTTATAGCTGTCATATTTGAAGCAACCACAAGAGGCTTTATACCCAAAGCCGGGCTCATACGATGCCATGAACTTGATGGGAGCGGTGCTGAACCGCTACTGGCGATTCTAGCGAGTTGCGAGTTGCGAGCGCAAAGTGCGGTTCCTACGTTTATTCCCATATTAGAGTGCACACGTGGTAGGTTGACGAGTGAGGGAGGTAGGTTACATATTCACAATGGCTGGGCGGGTTGAAGCATTGATATCCATACCTGGCTTGTAGCCTTCTTCAGCCCCTAGAGTTTTGTCCACTTTACTTTGGGTATGTTCATGGGGTTCCCTTCGCGAGTCCAGCCACACTCAATTGTTTCCCTGTTTCCAGCTTGTATCGTGGCATCAACCACCATAAAAATCACCACACTACTCCAAAGACCCAAGCTATCTAGCATGTGGCGGTCTAGGAAGATAAACTTCACCAGGCTAACCATGCTATCAATTGGTACTATACCCGACAAGTGGAAGAGGGTATCCTTTCAATCACGAGCGCCCGTTTGAAAAGAAAAAAAAAAAAAAAAAAAACTAAGAGCCCTGTATTCCCCTTCTTTGGTGAGGCCGGCCAGCGGAGTCGGGCATTTCCTCCGTGAGAACTGCCCTCCACAGTCATTCAAAAATAATCTGTTTTTGCTTGCCTTAGCCCAAAAGTCTCCAAAAAATACAAACCTCAATTAGCTTTTGCTCTCGTGCCATCCTGAAGATCCTCTATTGCATAACATTCTTCGGTAGGGCAGGATTTATGACCTAGACCGGACTGTCGCCACATTCCTGGTCTATCTGGGGCTCCTAGATATCCGAGTGCATACTCCCGCCGAGTACGCGTTGCGGTCCGGCCCGGCGACCGCCCCTTCAATTCCCCCAGGCGGCAAGTATACCACACCTGATCTGCATCAAGTCATCCTTTCGGATTCGCGCTTCTTTCTAGGAATGGTCGTGTGTCTAGGCACAACCGTAGCACTGAAATCGTATTATCTGTCATGTGCTCGGTCGATAGGAAGCTTTCTCGATCAACCTCGAACCAGAGGCCATTCATCCGAATTTCACCTACCTACCCCCCCGGCTCGCTATTTGTTCGTAGAGGATGAATCCCGAGAGTACCTCGAATAACTCGAGCTCTGCCGGTCCAGCGACGCCCACCAACAGTCGAAAGGAGCGGGGTGCCATAGCTGCTCAGGTATCTATCTCTTCTTTCTCTTCTTAGTCAGTTATTGACAACCTACCTAGGCTTGCGAGTCTTGCAGACAGCGTAAACAAAGATGTAGTGAAGAGAGACCGAAATGCGCTACCTGTCAGGTTAGTAACCCGAGCCCTCCTTATCTATTTAGTCCTGTCCGGGGAGCTATCCTAGGAGAGCGACATCGAGGTCGCACAGTTTTTGTTTCTTTCTTGATTACACTTCTAGTGACTCCTTAAACCGCGACGTAGACTTACCAACTAACCCCGAAATGTGGAATAGCGAATGAATGTAAGGATGGTTCGTCTCGCTTGTGCCTGTCTCCTACTAACTTCACCAGCTGGAATGCAAATACCGAGAGCCTCAACCGACCAAGTACGTAATATCCGAGTGTAACTTATACCATCGTCGGACGGATTCGACGGAATCCTGAACCGCATTGCGTTGCGCGGTTGCGTGTCGGATATCACTAACTACCTAGCTATAGAAAAGACAAGACCCTCGTTGAGATATTAGAGCGACTAAAGAGCCTCGAGGGAGGGTTGAGGAATCTTGATGGGAAGGTCGATAGCCTCAATGCTCGAGGTACCCTCCCCCTATCTATTTATGGCCCAATACATTCCAATCCTCCCCCCGCGTCTCTAGATCCTGGTCATCCTAGCCAGTGGCCTCATACAAACGTTCACCTTCAGCCCTCAGCTATCCCCTCGACCTCGCTCCGAGATGTGCAATATGTTTCTGCCACTCACAGGATGTTATCCTGGCCTTTTGTACAGCAGTTCCTTGAGAATAAGGTTCCGAGCCTCGACTTAACGAGCTTAGAGAAGGACGGAGCTGCTATGTTGTTAGGTTTACAAGGCCGAATCGCGTCTCTGCCAACCAACATTTATGGATCACCCCATCTTGGTGCCGATGGAACATCTCTATCATTACAAGTACCTTCCCCCAGTCAGGTTGAAGGGCTACAGGCGGGTGGGCTAAGTATAAACTGGGAAACAATGCAAAGACTTACTAAATCGTATTTCGACACATTTAACTTGATATATCCGATCATGGACCGGCAAATCTTCATGTCCGAAGTCTTACCGGCTATGGCAAGCCAAGGTTTCGATGAGAGCAGCTCTTCGACGTTAACATGTCTAGTATTCGCGCTTGGTGAAGTAGCCATCAGCGCCGTGCAAGGTGCTCCGCTTGGGGTAAGTTCGGTTTTGGGAATTTTATCACCCCCACGTTTATTTACCTGCATTGCACGGGGGTGCCCTGTAATTTCTGATATATCCGAGAGCGAAACGCTTTCCGTATACGGGTCGACAAATTGCTAATTTGAGGACCAGACACATAAAGGCCGTCCTAGTGGTATTAGGGGGGGAACTGTGGAAAGGCCGCCGGGACTACTATTCTTCAACGAGGCTAGAAAGAGAATGGGTTTCAATCTGACCGAATGCAGTCTAGAAAATGTGCAGATATTTGCATTGGCAGCGTAAGTATACCCCTGGCTGGCATTTATACGACTGGGTACTTACAATTTTCAATGTCTAGCATATATTATGGGACATGTTGTCATCATCTGGTAACTAGAACCATACCAAGTAAATCCTTATTCCCACTAACTAGCCCAGGAGTTTTGGCGTATGACGACCTCGGCATCGCTAGCGTGCCAGGCGTTATTGACGAGGTATGTGTCGGAAAACGAGCACATTAGAGTTGTATTAACATGATCCTCAGTAATCCGGATGTACTAACTACTCACCGAGGGGATTTGGTCCGGAGAACGTTTTGGCATTGCTCCATAATGGAGACGTATGTTGTTGACCTACCTTGATTCACGTCGATGTTCTGGACTGAATGAGTATAGGTGTCTGAATATGGAGCTAAATATTCCTCGGACTGGGTTGGATAAGCTAGAGCCACTAGTAGGACTGCCTGACTTCAGTGGTTCATTCTCCGAAGAGGATTATATCGGGAACCAAGCTTCCCACTTTCAAGAACACTTCGCTTCGCAAATAGTACTTCGGCGGCTATCCGTGGAGTTTCATACTACGCTAAATAATGGTGGGTGCAGTTTCAATCCTTAAAATATATTGTTAGGGGATCTACGATAGATATCGGGACCTTTCGATGTTCGCTTCCCCTACCTTAGAGATAGGGGCTAACTTAGTAAAGCTTTCGGCCCTACGAATCTTCCTCCCGAAACGCCAATATCCCCAGCAGCCGTGATGATGAAGCAAATGGCTGAGCAGTTGGATCAATGGAGGGGCTTATTGCCAGTATATTTGCGTTGGGAGGAAGATAATCCAGGGGCATTCTCAAATCCGGCTGAAGAAATGTACGATGATCAATCGATGTACCCGCCCCCCGTCCCTGACCTTCATACGAATTTTATGTTTTCGGCGGACCTAGATAGCCCTCCTGTGACATATCCTTACGCGGTGGATATACAGGCCGCCAGCCTTAGGACACGATATTACTACGTTAAGTATCTGATCTACAGGCCATTCATCTTCAAAGCCCTACATCATCCTGAGCAGGTGACACGGGACGACGCAGAGGGTGTCGTGGAATGTCTTAAGGCGATGTTAAAGTGGCCTATTGCGATGTCGCCAACTTGTTTTCACAAGAGACTTGTCCCATGCCTCTTCTTCTGGTCACAAAATCTCCTCGGCATTCTCCTGATCCTACACCTGACACAGCACGTGCCCATCCTAATGCGAATACGGGCATCGCTGATGGGGACTAAATTCGACCAAGACGCTAACGAGACGGCCGTACTATGCATCGATTGGATACGGGACCTCAAAGATACGGACGCTACCGCTCTATGGTGCTGGGAGATTCTGAAAGGAATCTACTCTCTAGGGGACGACACGTGATGATGCGATTTCTTTTCCCGCCCCCGATACCCCCTCGTTGTTCTTTCTTTCCATCATAGGACCTGGGTTATATGGCGAAGCGCACGGTAGCAATTTGGAACGAAGCAAGAGAACCGAGTCTATGATTTGTTATCTTGGGAGGTATTATTTACGGTCATAAGGTATCATCGAGGGAATATCGGCGCTAGGAGCTTGCGGGATTCGTCAGAAGTTTCTAACAGAATATCGTGCGGGGTGGTTGTGATATCTCAGATGCATTGCCGGGCGAGGGATTAAAGGCTATCTGTTTTTTTTTTTTTTTTTTTTTGTCTAGGATAGGTACTCTTCGAAGCATTTACAATATTAGACTTGACATCCTTAGCACGCTGGCTTCGTCAATTGATTTTATCGATGCTGGGGTTATTTTTATTTCCTATTTTCCCGTGTCTGAAATAGACTACCACTGTGAAATAACCCCTCGTAAACTCGGCATTTAAAAGAGAGCTTTAGATTGGCGTATGCGTAAATACCCAACTATAGCATGGCATGATTTACTCTAGTTCTTCATAGTTGGACGCCGATTACGATAGACTTGCAGTATTCTTCTCTTGTCTATCATCGTATCCCTGGATTCGGGATGTTGGTATTTCTATGGTAGTCAAACTAGGTACTTTTTTTATATATTTGCTAAATTACTTACTAGACATAGCCGCTGTCTCTTGCAAGAAGCTCTAGTCACTAGGAACTAGTTACGCGTAACTGGTATCTATGATAACCGTTATACTAATCTAGGTACATAAGCACTCTTGCGAGGCTAAGGAAAATAGGGGTAAGATAGTCCGTAGGGATAAAGAGTATACCGAGACCACGAGGGAACGACGGGGCAGGCATAAATGCTCCTGAAGTTACTCCTCCTTTAGGTGGGGGTATGGGTTTCGTTTTGCAGGATCAAGACTCGATGCTAGGAAGTGTAGCATGTATGTATTAGAGCATAATGCAGCACATCAGCGCTGTCATTCAGAGCTTCGCCTCTTACTTACCGCAGGGTCTCCGGGCTCTGCCTCTACACTCACATATCGGCAATCAAAATTCCTTAAGGGTATTGGCGGATACCCTGAGTCCAGTACCCGGTTGGTGGTAAAGTGGGTTTAGCTGCCTGCGCCCCGGAGCTGCTTGCTCGTTCACGAGTGGTTCGGCCAGTTGCGAAGCCGCAGTGTCTGAAACAGCTTTGACGAGCAACATCCAACAGCAGTTACCGTAAGGTTGGTGTCAAGGGCGATCTTAACATTGATGCAGAAGTCCTTGGTGATATCGGGGGGTGGTTTAGCCCCATCGTGGGGAAGAGGTGGAGATATAAGTTGCGGTGAGCTGAAATAACGGTTCGGCCCTGCCAGGCTAATGTACGCGCATGAACGAGCTCAAGTATCATCCCTAGGTTTCGTGTGGCGTAGATGGCGGTCTGCTAGCCGTCCGCCGTTACATAGTATGTGTATAAAGAGTATGTAGTTCCTTATATGGGTCGGCAAGAGCCGAGAAGTACATTTAGCCCCATAAGGAGCAATTGTCACGGACGCGGTCGTGCTTCCATTGCTGCGCACTAGTGTAATAAGGATTAGTCGTTGACATGGTTCGATAAAGTGATCTGGGAGTGTTTGTTAGATCTCTAATGTTGCGCACATAGTGTATGCCACATGTAGATGAGGACAGAGCGTAATTTTCCCATCCGCAGCCAAGCCTTATGGCTCCCTAGGTTCACTCGAATCGACGGACTTTTCTTTATTTAGATAGGGATACACAGATATTCAGAGAATTGTAGATGAGTTGACTGGCGGTGTTGACGGAAACGCCAATCAGTATTAGTTCTCCGAACTCCGAACTAGCTGCGATCTTATTTAGAAAGATATATGCAGGCTACCTACATAGGTAGGTACTCAATGCCGCGGAGAAGCTCGAGCATGAAGGTTTACTGATCGGGAAGTGATGATATAAGTGATGATATAAGTGATATATGTAAGTGATGATATGATGCTCATCGGAACGGGTCTCGAAGAACTGCTGGCTTGGCTGTGCGACCTGTCAGAATTGCGTAAGCTACATAGGGGAATCGGAACCAGGCCGCAAGCGTTGCACTGCATTGAAGCATCCGTCGGACTTTTATTACATAGGCTCTTTTTATTGAAGGGCATCGCACACGCCCTCTTGTGTGCCCTGCGGAGCTAATGTGGATGCTGCTATATCATAGCCTAATAACGCTGACGTCGGGCATCGAGCAAAAAAGAAATACCTAGGTACTATTAAAGAGACTGAGAGAAAGAGAGAGAGGCATCACCGCTTTCTTGACAGTGCGTAACGATTTGCTCTAGGGGTGGCTAATGATAAGGATACTAAAAGAGGTATGTAGAATATACTAAAAAAATAATAATATGAAGAGAGATCAGACGAGCGCTTTGACTTTGGTCGAAACTTCAAATTTACGCTTTGACGCCTTGCCCTCGGCCTTTTTTAGCGGTTCCACTTTTTGAGATCGATAAAATGTCTAAGCGCGCGTCGGAACATTGAATCCAACAAGATAGTAGATGTACCTACGGATTTGAGATCTCGGTTGGTGCATATTGCGTGGTATGCTTATGTAATAGAAGTATTTAATACATGAGTTTTCACAGCGGATATAGAGGTACCCTCCCTTTCCATGTGTTTTCCCCGTGTATTCCGGGACCACTTTAAGTACCTCCTAGTGTATATATAGTCATCCACTATTAGTTTCTCTCTTGCCCCGCATGGTCGTTTCAAACTTTATGGAGCTACACGAGTACAACAAGGTTTCCAACGGGCGCCCATCTGTCAAAGAAAGGAACGTACGTTCGCCTCATGGTACGATTCCAAAAGAGAAGCCTGTTTTGATTAGGTACCTTGGCGAAGTGCTTCGAGAAGAATTCCTCCCCACATAGTTCATCGTCTCAAGAACAGTTTTCTTGTTAATTAGGTCCTCATGCCTTCTTACTAGGGACGGCGGTTCCGATCGTATGTAAGTCGGGAGATACCTAGGTACCTAACATTGGATGTACGGAATACATTGGATGTACATATGTAAAGCGGGAAACTCTCCGGCACCGACTGGGCGGGCACACATCCACAATGTTGCAGTAGTTCGCCCGTTCGACAAACCCACTTCGACGGCGGCTTATGCACGCTGACAGGTCGGTAATAATATGCGAACTCTTTGACTTCTATGTATATTCTTAGCCGAGTATATCCTATATGTTCTGGCTCCTTAGCCGAGCAGTCTGCTTAGCATTGATATTATTACCTACAACACTTTTGGCGAACCGATTTCGAGGAGCTCTAGACTTTGCATAGATCGGGTCTTTGCAGAATGGTAAGTAAATCTTCAAGGACCGCTTCGGAATCACCCATCACTTACCATTTTACTAGGTTCCTTTGACATCTCAATGTTACCTTTCGTCAGTGTCCTTGCTGTAGCAGTTGTATCCGTCATGTCCTTACCCGATCAATTTCCCAGATAACATGCTTTTTAATGCGAGTCAAACGTGCACGCGTTACATCTTGAACGTATTCGAGCTGACAGGGTGCCTTGGCGTTTCCAAAGCTCCGGTATGCGCGGCTTAGATACATAGGTACGTATGTTCTCGCTAGGCTTCAGCTCATACTATGTAGATTTCTAAGATCTCGTAGGTACCAGGAAAGCCATGTTGGAGGTAATAAGAGCTCCCGGATCGTTTCGAGCCCTTGATACAAAGGCGCCAGACTCCTGGTGTCAACTGCGACCCCTAGCAAGAGATCGGCGGCCACAAATGCAGCCCCGACCCTGTTCGGTAGATCAGTTCGGATGCCGGGCGAAAGAACTTTGGCGCCTCACTGTTCTAAGCCGAGAGTCTGTATTCGCAGCCTTGCAGTCACAATCGGTTCCGGCCAATCGCGGTGATAAGGAGTTGGAGCCTATTATGCTATGCTTCGTTCTTCCTGTCAGCCTTGGTCTTAATGTGATTTCACAGGGATCTATCTATGTAAAGAAACTATCTCGTGGGGGTCGCTATCACACGAGTTGAACCATATGAGGTAGGTAGGTATTGCGTTACCATTATTACACACTACCTACTCAAATTGATTTACCCATTACCGTTATTACCAAAGCGACTCAGTGAGTGCAAGACGAGGGTATGAAAATGCTTATTATTCGAATTGGCATCACACATTAGCTTCCTTGTAAAAGTGATCCTAACTCAAATCAGTATTTCGTTTGAATATTAAATATTACGTTTGCACAACTTGAGCAAGTCAAATAACAGGAGCAAAGACTGCCCCTCTATAATAGAGAAATAATTTCCGGCATTGATGCGAGCTTCGCCGACCTACCGGGCCGCGGCTTACGCTTTGGAACGCCCCGGTAGCACAAAGCTAATGTACATACCTCCCTAGCCTCAGGCAGCTTAGCCACGAAATATTCCCCAGTTCTCGGCCAAAACCCGCCCAAAGACAGGGGCCCCGCCTTACGTAGCTGCCACATGGACTCGGAATAGATGGAAGTTTGCTTTTTTCATTCCCTTCATTAATTCATTATGATTCAAGTTTTTACGATGCTATAAATAATCACCTCAGTCCTGATCTAGCAGCTACCATAAACCTATGGGATCAAAACGTTCTTAGGTGACGAATTTTATGAAGCTAAGCGGTAAATTCATGTCGCTATTTCATACGATGTCTCGGAGATACAAATATGATGAAAAGTAATGAAACGGACTTGAAAATTACCAGCCAATCTCCAGATTTATTTCATACATACATACAAGTACTTAGCCTAGCCTTGTGGTACGGCTGCTGCACGTGGAATCTAGATCGGCTCCTTAAATTGGTCTATTTATTCCAACAACGCCGGGGCTTTAAGCCATGCAGCTAACCCAGCGTTTTGCAACTTGAACGTTTTTAATTACTTACATCGATGCGTGTACGTACTTTATTTTTATAATTGTTCATTAACAACGAACACCGAATAAAATGACTTTTATTATGACATGATTATACGTATAAGATCGATATGTATCTTATACTATTGTCATCAATACGATGTTATAGTATTATAATTGACCCGAGTTGACTAAGCACCTACATACATATAAGTACGCTAATGGACGGGATACATGCATGCATCTAGCTCTATTATGTACATAGAGGCGTACCGGACCACACGTAACTTAAACTAGCCCGACCTAAAAGACGGCCGAAACGTGTCAATGTACCACATATGTACATGCGCGCAATATATTTTAAACCGGTTATCAAATTTGAATGCTGCAAGTACCTAAGCTGCT